CTCACTCGTTTTTCGACCAAATTTCACAAAATTGGTACCAAAATGAAGCTTACAACAAGAGGAACAAATCCATACCACTTTCAAACACTAAAACCCACGGAATCTCGCCAGAAAAACACCACCAACTCCGACCAAACCTGCAACTCACGATTCCGACGTTCAAAACCTTCAAACGAACCACCCCGAGCCTCCTAAGGACCTCACCAAGCTTTCTACAAGCTTGAAATTCCCAAAAACACAAGAATTAACGTGTGCATGAACAGTGACCAAAATCGGGGATCTCGAGTTCGACGTGAAAACGAAGGTATCCTTACCTGAAATGGGTATGGTTGAACTCCGAAGGACCTCACGAGCACAACTGTGTAATTTGTTTCCTCGATCTGTGAAGATTTCAAGGGTTTTGGGTGTTGTCCGTACAAGAAGATAGGAAAGGGAGAGAGAGAGGGACTCGGGACAAGGCAGAAAGAGAGGAAATGAGTGTGGTGTGTGTGTGGTCCAAACTCCACCAACCAAAGCCCAAAAATGACCACACAACGAAACAAACATATTAGGGGCAGTCATTTCACCCCTACGGTACGAAAAGTCCAGAACGGGCTGTCTCACTGACCCGGAGGGGGGACCAGTTCCCGGGCTCGCTCCACCACCGTAGCACGATATTTTCCGCTTTGGGCCCCGACCATGCCCTCACGGTTTTGTTTCTGGGAACTCACAAGAGAACTTCCCAATGGGTCACTCATCCTGGGAATGTTCTCGCGCGCTACTTGCTTAACTTCGGAGTTCCGATGCAACTCGAAGCCAGTGAGCTCCCAAAGGCCTCGTGCTAGGTAGGGATGAGAATATGCATATAAGGATCACTCCCCTGGGCGATGTGGGATGTCACAATCCACCCCCCTTAGGGGCCCAACGTCCTCGTCAGCACACCACGGCTAGGGTTAGGCTCTGATACCAAATTGTCACATCCCGACCCGGGGGGGACCACTTCCCGGGCCCGCTCCACCACCGTAGCACGATATTGTCCTCTTTGGGCCCCGACCACGCCCTCACGGTTTTGTTTCTAGGAACTCACACGAGAACTTCCTAATGGGTCACCCATCCTGGGAATGCTCTCGCGCGCTACTCGCTTAACTTCTGAGTTCCGATGGAACCCGAAGCCAGTGAGCTCCCAAAAGGCCTCGTGCTAGGTAGGGATACGAATATACATATAAGGATCACTCCCTGGGCGATGTGGGATGTCACATTTTTCGTATGAAAAAAATGATCCTTTATATAATTAGCTATTTTGCATCAAATAATATTGTTTGATAAAAAAACAAAACAAAAATCAATTAATATTCTTTTATTTTGTTGGTAAATTATTTTACACAGATTATTACATACATTAGCCATTTTGATTTGTTATTATGTATGCGTGTCAAAAATAATTTATCTATATTTATATGTAATGTATAAGTAAATTAATTTTTTATAAGAATTAAACAATATGTAAATTATAAGTACATTATTTACTTATAAGAATTAAACAATAGGTAAATTATATTTTAGGTACATTATGTTTCTAAAAAAAAAAAGAAAATTGAAATTCATAAACAAAAAGTAGTAGATATATTGAATCAAAAAAACATTTATTTTTTATTTTGTAGGTAAATTAATATTGAATCAAATAACATTTTTTTTTATTTTGTAGGTAAATTATTTTGCATGTATTATTACATATACTGGGAGTGTTTTATTACTAACACATATGTCCAAATAATTTACCTATGTTTTTACGTAAATTACTCCATAGTTCCTTTTCAGTTTCCATTTGGTAAGAAAATGACAAGATTAAATTGAAATCGTCTAATTTTATGCAAATTTGGAAAATAATTACGAAATCTAAGGGAAAGTATAACATTAATGTTTTTTTATTTTTTTTATTTTTTTCCAGAAGCATTAACATACAATTTGTTATGATATATTAATACGCATTGAATTTAAACATTAATACATTTTTTTCATTAATCCCTCCCTTCAAATCTGCATAGAATTAAATGTATACATTAAAATTGTAATTAGGGGTATTTTAGGCATTTGGAAAATGCAAAATGTGTAAAGTCAAACAGAATTAATGAATTTGCTTATATGAAGCCTAGTCATTGATTTTTATTCAAGTAAAAAGACTATATCTGGTTTTATGTAAAGAAACTTGAGTTCAAGGGTTAAAATCATATTTTCAGAAAAGATTATATGTACATAATAGGTTCAACATATAGCATTTGTTTCACTCAATTAACGAAACAACTTGTATCCAAAAATCTACACGACCTTAACGATGTTTGCAAATTCAAACTCAAAAAACCAAAAAAAAACAAAAATATCATTTTGAAACGCACGGTTTTCTTGATCTATCATTTACAGTTGCATTGAAATAAGGGATTGAGAGGAATTGGAGGCTACAGTTTGGGACCTAGTGGCATGAGGGTAAAACCAAGACAATAGCAAAACCTTTATATATCTATGTCGCATACGTTTTAAACGGCAAATCTCTTATCGGTTTGTTTAGAAGTGTTTTTAGAATGACTAGAAACAGTTTCAATGTAAGTGTTTTTAGAATCAATCTTTAGTAAAATACAACTACATTCTGGAAAAATACTTGAAATGATTCATGCAAGAAGTATATAACTGATGTTTCCTGAAGAAAGTACCTCAAGTGCTTTTGAAATTCAAAAACACTTGCATCAAAAATATTTTCAATCATTTTAAAGCATTTCCAAACAAGTGATATGCTATTAGATTAAACACAAAGCTATGTTAGGGAATTCGACTTTTATAAGGCCCAAATTAATATTGCAGTTAATATTTTATCGCAGTAGTATTAAATAATTATGCCTATGTACTAGTCTAGGTTTGATCTCTACCAATTTTTTTTCCCCTACTAATTAAATATTTAGCCACTAACAATTTTACTTTACTAAAAAAATAATAACAATAGTATTGTATTAATATAGTATAAATATATTGTAATTGGCATGGAATAAATAAATGGGGAGAGTGAGTGGAATAATATTTTTACTTTACTAAAAAAATAATAACAATAGTATTGTGTTAATACAGTATAAATATATTGTAATTGGCATGGAATAAATAAATGGGGAGAGTGAGTGGAAGAATTGTGTGAAAGATACTTGAAAATGTGACACCAACGATCCCGTGACGCAGCAGGCAGGCGCCACTGACTCGTTCAACCGCGCGCTACCGCCACCGACAAAAAAATAAAAAAATGCAAGACCTGAACCTAGCTTGTCACGCAAACTCTACTATTTTTTTTTTCTTATAAAATAGATCAGCTGATAGTTTCGTCACGGCAATCCATATTTTCGGGAAATCGAAAAGACTCACATAGACATTTTAGCTTTCCTTTTACCACCATCGTGCAATTTATCAGTAGTAAAAATTAAACTCATGACATATACCGTGTGGAATACAGACCTATAATTCATCTCAACCACTGAGCCACCCATGATGATTACGCAAACCCTACTATTCATTCATGCATATATCTCAAAAGGTGACTCACATGCTTTCCTGTTAATTCACACGTAAATTATATACAAGTCACAAGTGTTTATTTGGTTCCCAAGCTATCACATTCATATGTATCTTTCATTGAATTAATCATCCATAATTCATGGATGAGAGATGTAGAAATATAGGGGAGGGATACACGGAAGGAATATTGGCCTCCAAATGATGCGATATTGTGTCTTCGTTCACCTCTGAATATACTATAGATTTCATTGTATTACTATGACTCCTACCTAATAAGATATTCTGAATATACTACAGCTTTTATTGTATTACTATGACTCCTAACCAACAAGATATTCTAATTGCGTCTAGTGTTTTTTTTTTTTTTTGGTCACACATATGTGTTGGTGGCATTTGTGGATTTGTGTTTTGATAGTTGTATAGGGGTTTACTCTAATTTATTTGATTGTGCATATTCACTTCAAATCAACTTCTTAATTAGTCAGTGGAGCAATGTACCCATTTGGTGTGACCTCTGTATTTACTTGTGATGATACCACTCTACCGCTTCTTGTCAAAAAAATAAAAAATAAAAAATAAAAAAAAACAAACCCTGATATGTATATTGGCACATGAGACATTTAGTGTTTGAATGTAACGACTTAGCACAATAGTATTAGAAGAACTAATAATTTGTAGATAGAGTAGTACTCTTTAATACAAGTTAGTCCTACATACAATAACAAAGATCATCCACATATGTATAAAGGGTGGTAGTATACACACTTCATTTTATTTCCTACACATCCTTCTCATTTTTTGATTGTTAGATCAAATGAACTGAAGAAAATCAAATAACATAAATCAACTTAAAATGTGTTGAAGGTCAAAAAAAAAAAAAAAAAAAAAAAAAAAAAAAAAAAGTGTGAATAGCACCACCGATCTATAAACTACAAGTAACATTATTGTTTCAGATAAGCTCCTAATCCCATTTCAAAAACTAAAAATGAATAAGTCAATGACAATGAAGAAAGGGCCCACACGTTATTTAACGGAGTATATTTGTTAATTAATTAAGAAATTATAAGAAAACCAACCTGAAATGCAGTAACGTACCTTCCGATACATTTTCTTGTTTTCTTTTTCTTTCTTTTTTCTTCTCTTTTGGCCCAACGCGGACTCCACCAACAATATGTCAAACCAGATACATCACAACTGGCTCTATTATTATTTCAGAATCTTCAATCCTTTTTCATAGGTTTTTATATAAAAGGAAGAAAAATCGAACATAATACTTCAGGTTTGGATGCAGAAGTAAATGCTTTTATTCATATTTTTAGTTGAGAGACGTCTTCATCAATTCCCTTGTATAAATCTTCAACTCCCTCAAACTTCCAAGACCAAAAGTTTAATCTCATTTCGTATACCTCTCAATCTCTCTCTCTCTCTCTCTCAACTCTCTCTCTCTCTCTCTCTCTCTCTCTCTCGGCAACATGGGCAACTACATTTCTTGTAGCCTAGCAACCCAAATATTGAGCAAGCATGGAAAAGCAGCAGCCACTAAAGTGATCGTCCCAAGCGGCGAAATCAAACAATTCAATGTCCCCATAATAGCCGCCGAGCTGATGGTCGACACCCCAAACTTCTTCCTCGTAAATATCCAGTCTCTCCATGTGGGAAGAAGATTTTCGCATCTCAGTGCCGACGAAGAGTTGGATATCGGCAACGTTTACGTCATGTTCCCCATGAAGAGGCTCAACTCCACCGTCACAACAGCTGATATGGGGCCACTGTTCCTCACCGCCGCAGCTGGGTCAGCAAGCAAGCGAGCTTCCGGGAGAAACGTGAGGGTGCGGCCGGCTTATCATCATCAGCCCATGAAGTTTGGTAATGAAGGCGATGAGTGTAAGAGGATTAAGAGTTGGGGAAAAAGTTTGGAGCATGAGGCGGCGACGCCAAAGCTTAACTTGGATGACATCGAAGATTTCTCGGCGCCGGAGTTTATGCACAGGTTGTCTATGAGTAGGTCAAAGAAGCCATTGCTGGATACCATAGCAGAAGAGCCTGCAGTTTCTGTTTCTTCAAGGTGATCATTAGTCTCCATAAAAGAAAAGGTGATCATTAGTCTCCGTAAAAAAATGGTGATGATTAGTTATGGCATGCACAGCATAGGGTTGTTTATGGAATTTTAGCCAAGGGAGATTGTAGGAAGTGTGTGTATTTATTATTTACTGCAAACTTATTATACTGGTGGAAGTTTTTTGCCCTCAACGTGGGGTTACACCTTTTCACCATTAGATAGGTTTGAGTTCTGTATGTTAAGGATGTAATGATGCATACAAATCTGTGGTTATGGGATTCAATGCTAACTCGCCTCTTCTTAATGTACGTCAAAATACGTCACATGAGTTTTTTTCAAAGTTTTATCGAAAGAGATCAATGGTCTAACATTAATATTATTCACAAATTACGAGACAGCCAATAGTCCAACACCAACTTAACTATATGCTAGCCGTAGCCAAACATGACACGCCCCGATCCCGATATTCCCCAAATATCAGGATAGGCACATGCTGGCCGACACCTGAGGGTGACGAAAGTCATTTATTTGAATGTAAATGCTGAGAACAAGAAATAAATAAGACTTATAAATTTAAATATAATGAATTAACATGCAATTGAGAAATGTGTTCAAAGCATACAACTAGCTAGAACTCTAAAAGAGACAATATAAAACATCTAAATACTTTTCTTGGGAGACTTTTCGGTAGCAGACGCTATCCTCATCAATTTCAAAAAAGTAACCTTTCCACAAGTTTACCAGACTTACCAGGAAGAGTTCTATGTAGGTGTGAGGTTAAGCCATCTTTTAGTAAAGATTGTTGAAGATTGTAGTGCATGTGATTAGCAGATTGCATCACTATCTTCACGCAGAATTGAATAGTCACCATTCATTATCCTACTGCAATTCATAAACATCATATCGTACTCTAATAGTTCTTTTCCAACGAGATGTGTTCGACTTAACGCATCTTTCCACTGCTTCACTTTAAGACCTTATTGTTATGAGTACATGGATGTCGAAACACTTCTAGCAGATCTGATTAGTGCGCTCTGGAACGGTATGACGGCACGGCCGAGGTGAGAATCGGACGATCTTTGTACACTCTCATGTTGTGCGGTAAAATGGTTTTTGGAAGATCAAATTTACAATATGGAAACTGCTTGCTTATCGAGACAACAAATGTGTGATCGATATCGCGGGCGGGCGACTGTTGTTTCGATAACTTATTCGTTGGGTTCGTTAAGCAAGTGGGCAAGAAAACCCATCTACGGCAATTGTTACGGATTTACTATTGTTGGGGGCTCGACCCAAAGACAACTTTTCTTATAGTATGTGACATTACATATGTTTAGGCGAGACCCACCTTCATTTTCGTTTTTGATTTTCAGTATGAGTATTGTAAATTACCTCATTATAGTTATATATTTGTTTTCTGACATTACAAAGGTTTGGTCGAGTTTTTCCACTTTCATTTTTAAGTCTGTACAAGTTTTCGACCTATATGTTAGTACATATCTATTTTGATGCTACCGTATTTTACATACATATTTTTTACCCTACACTATTACATCTTTGACTTTATTTCGTTATAAAGTATGTTTCTACTTTTACACTGATGGGGGAAGAAAGTAGGAGCTTGGAGGCATGAAAGATGGAATCATTCCAAACTGATCATGACGGTGTGGCATTTTCCCTTTTTGTGCAACCACTCTGACTTGATCTATTTGTTACGTATGTATACATACATACATACATACATACATACATACATACATATATATATATATATATATATTCTTCTTCCTATTTTCGAGTATTTCAACGTAGCAAGTTATTTTAAATTTTGGGGCCAAATTTTATTTAAGGGGGGTAGATTGTAAAACCCCTCCCCAAATTTAGTTCGTAATTTTTGCTTTTCCCCTAAAAGTATTTGAAGTTTTCAATTTGGTCCCCTTATCCTTAACCAATATGGACCCTCCCTTTTAGATTATCTTCTATCTCTGTTTGCCACGTGGCATCACCCCAACTCATCCCCTATCTCTATCTCTCTCTCTCTCTCTTTTGCCCCGAGACTCACTCAGATCACTCTTCTCTCTTTCACTCTATCCCTCTTTCCCTCTCTCACCGATTGAACCTACACCCACACACACCCTTAGAAGCACCCTGGTGACGGCGCAGCACCACCACCACCGTCGTAGACCTTCCCTTCCTCTTCACTATCTTCATGAAGCTTCGGAGTACTCAGAGAACACCAAACCCAGGTCCCGAAAACCGTGGGTGTGTGAGCCCAAATCCAGCCATCTCCGGTCGTCTCACAGTAAACCACATGTACAAACTTCTTCCTCTCACCTCCACCTTCATTTTGGCACCTAGATCGGAGTCTAGGGTGATATTTTGGTCGTCGACCGAAGCTGGGTAGCTCCAACGTTCTTTTTCCGTCGAGAACAGGTCATTGGGCCAGCTCGTCCCAACCCAATCAAACTAGGCCCCTTTGGGCCGTGTATAGAACTCGGGCCTTAGGCCCCGTTTAAACCCAAACCTTTTTCAATTTTAATTATTTCTATTTTATTGTATTAACCCAAAAACAATAAGGACAGGCTTCAATGCCTAGCCCAATTGGAAACCCTAAACCCTTTCGGACTCAGGCCTCAGGGCCGTGTGGGCTTAGGCCTTCGGGCCTTGGCAGCCAGCTCGTGAGACTGTGACCCCAAAACCCACCTAGCCAAACATGAGTAAAGTTTTATCCTAAAAGATTCAATGTAATTACAAATTGAACCATGTAATTGTAAGTGTAAATTATTTTGTCAAACACCTTGAAGTGGAATTTTCAACCTTCGTTTATAGTTCTTAAACTTTAGACGAAACTAGAAAAGCCGTCCGTTTTGAAACAACAATCCACAACAACTATGAATCATTTCCACAAAAAGATACACAAATTATGGATCACAACACCTATCAAAGAATCATACTCAAAAGGTAGCATCAACAAAATCACATTCTTTTACAACAAAAACACGATATAGAGACTGAAATCTTCAAAATCAGAGATAAAAACTTCAAAATCTAAATAACTACAAACTTATAATCATAAATAAGATTTGAGCTTGCAGAAAACGTGAAGAGTGATTGAGAAATTGGAGCATTAAATTTACTATTTTTCCTTTCCTTCCCTTCCCTCACTGCATAAACAGTAAAAGTAGCTCTAGTTTTTCATTTTTTTTTTTCACACCATTCTTCATGCCAAGTCAAAATCAACAACTAAATTTATAACATGCATGTTAATAATACCATGAAAATTTCCACTTCATTATACATTGCATATTATTTTTCTTAGTTTATATATGAATTTGACATTATCTCTTCCAAAACCACCAACCAAAATCACTTCTCAAAGAAATTATAAATAGAAGAGAGTGGGTGTGTTAGAAATCATCAATAAAGCTGATAAGGTATGCTTATCAAATAATGTGGACACACGAGCTTATGCTGAAATATTGTAACATGAACATGCTGGGTGTATAAATCTACGTTCAACTATAGCCTCGCACCTACAATAGTATAGCCAGACACGTGAAGTTGGTCCTGGCCCTAGATAGTCCTATAGGCACCATGTAAGCATGATGAGCGGATAAATTATATGAAAACATGCATGGATAATCTCTCATATAACACGTGTTGCAAATCATAATATCGCATTACCAAAAGTAATGCACAGTTGTATAACATTCCAAAGAAAGGTTCTCAAATCTCATAAATCACAACATCAACATCTCAAAAAACATTTGCATAAGCTAAGTAAAAGCAAAGCATGATATAAAAGCAACACATAAAACCAATTTCAAATATAGTTTAAAAGAAAAAGCCCACTCACACACAACCTGTAACAACCCGTCCTTAATTTTACGATTTTATTAAATTTAAAAGAGTAAATTGATGAAAATGCCCTTAAAAGCAAGAACGTTGACTTTTATTGTCCGTCATTTCGTGATGCATTTGAACTATTATTTTACCGTATTCTCAAAGTACTCGAGTGTATGAATGCGTAGGCGCAAGCGGAATCGAATTAGGAGTTACGACGAAGATTTTACGGATTTACGAATCCGAAAGATTATTTTTTTTAAGAAATTACTATTTTAATTATTTTATATTATTTATATATTATTATATTATTATTTAATGTTTTCTAAATTATTTTATATTATTTATATTGTTTTAATATTTTTTGAGTGAATATTAATATTTTAATAACTTATTTTGGCATAGGGCCCACTTAGCACAAACCCTCCATTTTCTTCTTGCCACATGGCAATTCCTCCTCCATAATCTTGGACTTTCTCTCTCTCATTCTCCAAGCTCTCATTTCTCTCGCTCTCTCATCTGTCCTCCCTCAGCAATACCGAGACCACCATCACCACCTTCATCGGAATGACGAGCTCTACCACCACAACCTCACAATCTCCATGAATTTTACGAAACGAGAAAAGCCCCAGACTCCCTCACGTCTCTTTTCTCTCTCTGCAAACACACCGTAACTACCAACCTCCTCTCTGGCAAGTTCTACTTTGAAATCAACAAAATTAAGGTAAACTCCAATTGAATTGGATTTATTCCAGTCTCTTGTTACTTTTCCTAACTATCTGGGTTGTTTTCGAACTAAAAATCGACGAATTTAACCTTGCCCTTCAATTCTCAGATTTTTCGGCTGACCTGAAGCCTTTACAAGCTTTTTCCGATCAACTCCAACCACAGCTCAACCCCACTTAGGAAGATTCTTGTTCCTTATGCTCTAAGCTTCATTTTTCCTTTTGAATCATAGAGAATGGTTGAGTTTTGAACTTGTGGTTGGTGTTTGAAGTTTTCTGGCCTCCCTCCACAAAATTTGGTCTTCTTCTTCGTTGGGTCCGGCGACCCGCGAGCCCAAAAAAAAAAAAAAAAAAAAAAAAAAAAAAAAAAAAAAAAGGCCTAAGCCAAATTCGGCCCAAAAACCTGATCCATGGGCCTTCCCAAGGCTTTGGTCTATTAATCTGATCCAGCCCATTCCAAAATGGATCCTTAAATATTCCTGGAATATTTCCTAGAATATTCCTTATCGAAAACCCTCCTAGGCTAATTTCGACATCTTGAGTCCATTCAGTGAAATTCTAAAGTTTTAACATAGTTGACCACCAGGGCGTCTTGGTTGAATTTTTAGAGTTGATTGTTGACTTTTCGTTGACTTTTTACAAAAATTGCCCATGACCATTCTTAGCGTATTTCGACGCGCTGATTTCGAATCCACCATTCATTTCTCCAAATTCAAACATTTTAATTGAGTTTTACTAATGGGTCTCTATTATGCTTAGGTACAATTAACATCAGTGATTCGTATTTACTCGTTTGAATGGCTGCGACCCCGTAAGTGTGTGTGTATATATATATTTGATAGTTTCCGCACATATATTTATTAATGAATTTTCTACGTGATTGCCATAATTAAATTAACGATTATAAGGAAATGTCGTATTGTTGGAGAATTATGAATAATCTTATGGGATGCACATGTATGCATATTATTACGGGATGCCTTAATTATATTTATGGCCGTGAATAGTATTACGTCGACGTGAATTATCGATTAGGACTCGTATGTGATGCGCTCATCACTAGTCTTCACTTGATTGTACTACTAGATTACACCTAGTCCTGTTCATGCTAGAATATCTCTGCATGAACTCGTGTGTCAGCATATGTCAATGAGCACCCGATATGATATATCGTTTGTGCGAGATGTGATGATTATCAGATGTTATGTGCTTACTTAGGAGATATTGTGAAATATTGCATGTTCGAGATATTACGATTTACAATAAGTATTTCCATACTATATGTAGTATGTATATTTTGGAAACTATACTTATTTTACGGCGATGTGTTATTATGTTTTCGAAAAGGTTTTTACAAAACTATTTTTTTAGGCCAACTCACCTTTGTTTTTCACCCTTCCAAGTTTTAGTAGCTGAGCTTTCGTATTGACGAGGATTCTTGGCAATCTTGGTATTGGAGATTACCTTCGATGATATAATTCTCATCCTACCTCTACTGTACTTCACTTATGCTCAGGCATCACGTGTGGAATGGGTTCATCCCTACTCACTAGCGCACTCTTACATTTAGGCACTTTTAGGTTTAAATTTATTCACACTTTCCACATCGTTGCACTTTATGACTTCATCATCTTGCTGATGTCGGCCAACACAGCTCGATTCGGAGCCCAGTTGGACATTCCAGATTGGGGTGTGTCAGTTTGCCTTGCACACTCTTTGTAATTCTAGATGTGGCCTTCAGATGCCTACAGGGGCTAGGACGCGTTGCCACGAGCCGGTATCAATGATGGTTGCTGACGGTGGAATATTTCGTCGTCGTTGAAGTATACAATTGAATATTATGTCGCCGTTGAAATATAAAATTGAAATATTCTATTGACATTGGAATATTTCATTGGCATCTAATGAGAATTTGAAAGGAATATACTTTTGAAATATTTGAGGTTCAACTGCTTGAACTGGGCTTGGACTGGGTTTGAATTGGTCTACCACTATAACTTGAAAGAATATGGGGAATTGGTTGGAAAACGTCAAGTCTTCGCTGTGCTACCATCGTTGCTTCAATGTCTGATCCAAGGTTTGGGTTTTGCTCCACTTCAACGAACACATTAGTACAAGTCTAGATGATCGATTCCTTGCTGTTTAGCCGGAATCCCCTCCGTCCTCTCACATATTCTAGGTTTTCTCGCTGGAGAACCTATAGACTTTTCCTCTTCGAATCTGCGCCATTTCTCAACCATTTCACACATGCAATATATGAAAATTGATAAATTCAATGCATATCTAACAGTAGTGACATCAGGGCTTACTTTCACTAAAATGGCAGAAAAATTATTGGGAAAGTTCCTCAATGTTGGAGTTCTTTAAATCGGTATATTGGGTTTGAATTTCAAGGAACAACAACCAGGGTATGGTTCGTGGTGAAAAGTGGTCAGGATGGTGATGGTTGGGTGGCTCGGTTCGCCGGAGAACTGTGGCTCCGCTACCGATGTTTTTGAGGTTGTCGGGGAAGGATGAGATAGATGAGGAAAAAGAGAGAAATGAGGGAAATGAGAGAATCAGAGTGAGAGAAAGCATGTGGGAAGAAAAGAAAAATGGAGTGAACCCCTCTGGACCTGAATGCAAACATAAATAAAATAAGCTAAAGGAAAATATCCAGAATATAGTAATATTATTAAAACGCCTTTGAACTATAAGAATCTTCGTTTTAACTCTAAATTTCATTTTGCTTGCGCTCACGCATTTGTATCGTCGAGACTACAAGAATATACTAAGGTGATAGCTTAAACGTGTCATAAGATCAAAGGTCAACAGAAGTCAACACTTACCCATCTTGGGGCATTTTGGTCATCTTCGACCTTCAAGAATTAAAATACAGGAAAATCATAGACATGTCATAATAGTTTCTCTTTAGATTCGCTGATAGATTGTGTGAGAGAGTTGATTATTAAGTTTCAGCTTTGAGTGATATGACATAGCTGTCATTGCGTCAATTATCACTTCTTAGTCAATCCATTTTTTTTCCTTCCTTTTAGGCTCTGCCCCCTTCTTGCTCCAAGTTAGTACTGCTAAATAGCCGTTTCAGTAGCCTTCACAAAAAAAACTCCCGCCATTTTGACAGTGCCTATCGCCCGTATCCATCAGATAACTATCTCGTTTCTATTTTGCTCTTTAAAATGACAAAAAATCAAATCCCACAAAATTCAAAACTCCCAAATTGAACCGAAAAATCAATTCCGTCTCCAAGAAAACCCTAAATTACAATAAATAAATATGAGAATTGTCATTGGCACTCTAAAAATCTAATTATTAACTCCCAACATTTTACATTTAGAAAGAAAAATACACTTGTGTAGAATTAGGTTTGTGTACTGTCAATAATAAGTCGTATAAATTATACTAGCGTAAGCCGAAACAATTTTTTTTTTTTTTTTTTTTGAAAAATATATGGGAGAGAGAAAATTGGAGAGAAATGTGAAAGAGAGAGGCACCAGGGAGAGATTTATGTTTTTATATTATATTTTTTAAATTAGAGATATGTTATGACGATGTGGATAAGGGTGGGTTCAAAAAATGGAAAAGTGAAACAAAAGGGGATTGAACACCGAAAATTTGAAAAAAATTGAACCAAAAAGGAAAAAACCAAACCAAACCTTATTTGGTTTCAATTTTGGAGGTTTGGAAATGAACTGAACCGAATCCCTTTACACTTTATGAATTTATGCCCATGATGCTTCTTTGTGAAACTTTGTTGCCAAGTTTAAAACTAAGCTTATAGTTTTTTCAAGGAGCATACTTGGTTCAATTAGGTAGAATATTTCATTGGTTATAGAGGAAAGTTTTGGAAGGCTTTGGAACTTGGAAGAGTTTTTCTATTTGTTTGCTTTTTTAATGGATACGGTGATCATTTTTCTTTGCAAATGAGGTTGTTGATAGAATAGATTGGTTTATATGATCTTGTATATGTATAACTACTTTTCCACTTTCGCACTATACCTATATTTTTATTATTAGTTTACCAATACAAACCTCTTTTCTAAATTTCATATTAAAAAAGGATCAAGTTTTATAAAATAAAAATCCAAACTGTGCCGAAACCAAAGCGAACAATACCAAACCGAAAAAAATCGAAAAAAAATTAAACCGAACTGAATCAAAGTTTGGTTTCAATTTTGGTAAAAAACCGAACCCACATTTAGATATGAATGTGAGTATAAAAAAATATTTAATTTAATTTATGCGAATTACATTACTGTCCCTACTTTTATGCAGTCACATAAGACCAAATTGTCTTTTCATTACCGTACCGTAGTGTTCCGAAAGCAGTTTGCGATTCCGGTTGGGATTTCGATGAAGGTTCTGGAACCTAGGGTTTCAATCCGTCCGTACAAGGAACCCTACGCGAGTAGAGTAGTAGTTACAGTCGTCGTCTTCTTCCTCTGGGTTTCGTTGCAATGAGCGCCATTAACATCACAAACGTGACGGTGCTTGACAATCCGGCTCTGTTTCTCGCACCCTTCCAGTTTGAAATTTCTTACGAGTGCAACACTCCTCTCAAAGACGGTACCGTTTCCCCTCTCTCTCTCTTGCTTTTTTGTTTTTAATTGTGTGATTGAGTTTCAATTAGGGTTTTTTCGTGTTTGATTGAGAAATTGGTAGTACAATTGGAAATGGAAGTGTTAGATGTAATGTTGAATGGGTAGAGGATATCTTCCGAAAATCGGGTTTCCTTGGCTTGCAAGGAAATGGGTGTTCAGGAGCTCATATACTATAGCTTGGATAATTATGTTTTATTGATATGATACACTGGCGGCATACGCCCAATTGATTGAGTTTATTGCTAGGGTTTTTGAGCCGGAAGTGAAACCCATGGACGATTTCTTGGTTGTTGAGTGTTTCTTCTTCTTTTCGTTTTTCAAAATGAACATTGTAGTATGCTAGAAGATTTCTGTAGCACTGCGAGAAGTAGAAAATAAGAAAATGTTGTCGCAGTGGATGCGGTGTGATGCTCAAAGAAGTCAACTGTGTTTTGTATGCATTCACGATTACCAGCTTCGCAAATATGTCATGTATCTGCATTTCAAGAGAGCATATGTTCCAAAATACACCGTTTTGTGTTTCCTTTATGAATTTAAAAGAAAAAAGATTGGTGCTATATTTTCTATCCATGACCATGTTGGATTTATCAGCTTAGCTAATAACAAGTAATTTCTGCATTTCAAGGGTGCATTATATATATCTGTATAGCTATTGTGGTCATTTGAGTTTCAATGTTTTGTTGTGCCCTTACCCTTGACCCCTCTCGAAACCTTTTCCCATCCCTCGTGTTCTTTATGTCGTATGTGCAACTGGATCTATTTAGACTGTTAGCAATTCAATACAGCTAAAGGAGTTGAATGAATTTTGGAATAGAAATAAAATTTAGCAAACAACAGATGCATTGTTGAGGTGCTTCAGGTATGGAATATTGTTTAACGTTTCAGTCACATGACTGTAATTATAGTACTTGTCTGAGGTGCTACAACTGGTGATTGGTCATTGCATAGGTACTGCACAGGTCTATATAGATAGGTATCTCTGAAAGAGTGAAAAGGTAGCAGTATGTAAATTAGGAAAATTTGTAGAGCTGTAACTCTAAAAAATTTCTAATTTTGTAGGTTTGATCGACAGGAAATTATTTAACCACCGAGTTGCACCGGGTAGGGATATGGACTCATTGAGGACAACAGACTAGTAAATAGTTATGTATAGATTCTTGTTAAAATGTTTAATCTTCTAGTTCCATACCCTATCTCATTAAATAACTTTAAGAGTGTAAATAAGAGGACTTTTAGGGTCATCTGGTTTCCAGTTTCATGAGTCATCCCTGCTAACGGTGATGATTGTTTGCATGAAAATTGAATAGAATGGGGAGCTGAATTTCTGAGGTTTGCACAAGTAGCACCAAGTTGCACATGCTTTTCTAGTTCTGGGTGAACTTTAAAAGTGATGCCTTCTGAGGTTTGCACAAGTAGCACCAAGTTGCACATGCTTTTCTAGTTTTGGGTGAACTCTAAAAGTGATGCCTTGTTTAATTGTTGAGTAATTTTCATAGCAACGCAGATTTGGAATGGAAGCTCATCTACGTGGGATCTGCTGAGGATGAGACTTATGACCAACTCCTGGAGAGTGTACTTGTTGGGCCTGTCAATGTCGGAAACTATCGTTTTGTACTACAGGTAAGCTTCCACTAGATCCTTCTACCGTATCCTTTTCACATCTGATCCACAAGGTGCATTTGAATTTGAATCACCTTCATTAATTTTGTTGATCATTTTGCAGGCAGATCCTCCTGACCCATCCAAGATTCGTGATGAAGACATCATTGGTGTGACAGTGCTTCTGTTGACCTGCTCTTATATTGGTCAGGAATTTATCCGAGTGGGCTACTACGTTAACAATGATTATGATGATGAGCAGCTGCGGGAAGAACCTCCTCCAAAGGTCTTGATTGATAGGGTTCAAAGAAACATTTTGTCTGACAAACCTAGGGTCACAAAGTTCCCCATCAATTTCCAGCCAGAGAATACTGAGAGTGGAGAACAACCCCCTCCACTTGATCAGCCCAATGAAGCGGATGGAAGCACAGAACAGCTTGTTTTGCCTGTAAATCCTTCAGAGGAGCAGAAACCTTAGGTATTGAATCACAGGCTTCCACTTCCTTTTTGACTTTCGTTATCCTCTTTCTGGGAAAACTTTATGCATATTGTTTCACTGGGCGATTGCCAAAATTTTCGAAGGATACCAAATGCTTTGGCCCTACCTGGGAAGGGGTTTTGAAGTTTATAACTTCTACCCTGTAAATACAGTAACATTGGTTCATGAAGCTGTGCTGACTTGTGGTTGTTGGAAGTCTGTTTCATTCAGGTGATATTTTGTGCTGACTAGGATTATCAAATTTGTAGTAATAGGAGACAGATGTTCACTATTAGCCTGAAATCTCATTGAACCTTGTGTATGATCTTAACTTTTTGTACTAATCTCACTTTGTGGAGTTTTTTCATTGTTTCAAGTTTGCTTAATCAAGGATCGTCGTTAATGGAAAATGCAATGGTTTGGTCTTTCACTTGTGTTATTGGCCCCGCTAGCCTGTATCAAGAATTTTAGGGGTAGCATGTTTTAGTTATTGGGGGTTATTGCATCGGCACCCTAACTGATTTAAGTCACTGAAGAGCCATGCTTACATTTTGGCTTGTGGATGGGCTGAACCATTCAACCAGATGTTTGTTAAAAAGTTGTGTATGATTTTTGTTGTGGCTTTTATTACACTTCTTCTATCTCTTCCGAGTCTCAGGGTTTTAAGGGGAAATTTTCAACCCTTAAAGTTGAATGCGAGTCTCTGTTAAATGGTCAGAAAGCATGCACGACTGTCCCTAGCATAACTCGTATAATTTGTCGAAAATTATTGGATTCGCATCAGTCGGTATGTATATGCAATACATTATGCTTGTAGAGTAAGTCTTACGAATGCAAGACCTGATCATTCTCATTCTTCTGATAACAAGCTTAGAAGTGGCTGAAACTAAATAACAGAGCAAAGTATCATCAAGCAGTCAGTTTGGCCACATCACTCGAAAGCGACGAAAATCTTAAGATAGCTTCCTTAATTCGGTACAAAATGGCAAAATCCCAACCAAAAACAACATTCGTAGCACTTTATCCACGCCTTCTCTTGGACGGGTTCCCTTTGGATTGCTTCCCACCGTATCTCGTCCTCTGCATATTAAACCATCCGTTATAAGAGACGTCACACTTTAAAGCTTAAATATATCCTAACATTGTGGTGATGTTTTTTTTACCTTCTTTTTCGACCCATTCTTGTCTTGTCTTTTACTTTTCTTTCTCGGCATACCCTGGAATAATTTAGCGGAGAAGGTTAGCTTCCTGCACGCCCACTCGACATATTTTCTGGTTTATTTTAGCAATGAGAGACGTACCTGTGAATTAGCTAGAATTTTAGCATATAAAGCAGGGGTCTCTTCTTCATCAATTTTCCCATCAGCGTTCAGTATGGTCTTCAGCCTACCTTCGTCCAATAGTTTCTCAGACCGAGCATGCCTCTGCAATAATAACAACAATATAATTAGTCACTAGTAATTGTCTTGATAAGACCACATAAAATTGCTGGCGCTTCTTCAATTAAATGCAGGCTAGCAAACACAACAAAGCTGTATCAATCAGTCTGGCGCTTCTTCATTTTGCATTACCAGTTTCGCATATTGGAAATGATCTCATATCCGAGACAGTCAAGAAATAGTAGCAAGTCGTATACAATGACAAACAATTGAAGTAGCAAAAACCAACTGATGATTTAACTCTATAGAAAGATACGTAAGCCACACATCTTACCTTGGAATTCAGATGAGCCCTTAAACTCTCCTCATTCAAACAGACAATTCTAGGGCATAACCTGCATTTAAAAGCTGATTTGCATTTCACGATACAGTCTGGTAAATCTACTGGTATTGACTCCTCGTCTGGCATGATTTTAGATTCTTCCTCTGGTAATTTTGAACCACTTTTACCAAGCAACTGATCAACCATAAGAGCCGGTCTTTCATGTCCGGTTGAAGCATCATCATCTTCAGTTATTGGTAGACCTAACATGAAAAATGATGTCATGTATCTTGTCAAAACATAAGCGTAATCATTCTGGTCAAACATTAAGATATAGAATGCACTCAAGCAAGCAAATCAATCAAGTTGTGAAAGTTATGATACAAATTTCCCTTTGTTTAACTGTCTAGGATAACAGTATCTTGCACGGTTCCATAATTCCACAAATGATAAGAGGTTGCAGTAGCAATTTCTCAAAACATCTCCACTTTCAATCCTCCAAAGACCATATACCATTGTGTCATCAAACCATTCTTCCGTTTCTAATGCTTCTTTGGACACTTGGTTGTAATTAGAATTACAATCTTGTATTTCATCCTAAAATCATTCAGAAATAGAAAGGTGTAACCTTTTATAGATAGCTTCCTGAAGGAAATATTTGTGTGAGTTAAGAAGTTCACCCGAACACTGTCCTGAAGTTCTACTTATGTGCAACATTATATGACCATACGATGCAAAAACCTTTTGTGAAAAGTTTTATAGCACCTGAGTGAAGGCAACAGTTGTGAGTGAAGAATTTCAACCCGTAGCTATCCTTAAGTTTTAGTTACCTGCACTATTCTACGAAATTTAAACTTTGATGATCTATACTTAAGTCCACGTAAGCATCTATCTTGCAACCGAAAATGTCCCTTAACACGGTTCTGTTCTTTGCAAGGGGAGGATGTAGTAACATCTATTTTTTATGCAAAAATGGCGTAACAAGATGCTGCGTGTTTCATGATTGGAAGTTGAATTCTAATTTTCATATCAACTTTACGGCACTCCTAAGGATGAGAGTTACAACTTTTATGCACAATAATACATCAAGTAAAACTGATAAGCCCGTATTTTCTCCTCATTTTCTGACTATTTCTTTCTCTTTCATTCAATTTTTCGGGAGGAAGTAGTGCTATGAAAGGAGGAAGACAAAAACTAACATGGGTGGGAAAGTTATGATAGACTCTACAATCCGAACTGTAGCGAAAACTTCTTGTTTCAATAGACAATGTATCTCGATAGAACAATCCATAACATCAATGCCAAAAAGAAAATTGAAAACTCAATATCCATGGAACAACTAAAACTTCACTGACAATAAAAAAACGCTCATATTCTTCCAAACAAGCCTTACCTGAGGAGTCAACAGGAAGTTCAGTCGCTGAGCTATCCTCACTTTGATATCCTGGAAACCAAAAAACCAGAAGAAAAACTGAATTTCAGCCAATATTAATCAATACCATCCTTTTCTTTTAATCAATTCAGAAAATAATTTAACAAAAAATTATATAATTAAAGGGCCGGGAAGGAAGAGAAAACCAGAGGAGGTAGAGCAGGACTGAGCATCGTCCTTGAGTTCTTGGACTGCATCATATTCTTCTTCTTCTTCTTCTTCTTCTTCATCCGAGTCGTCTGTGGCTTGTGGTTCCATTTCAGAATCCGACGAGGATGAAGATGAATTGGAGGGGCCATCTCTGTCGCCATGTTCTAGCTTGTAGAATCGCCGCTTTATCATTTTGCTAACTCAGAGAGAGAGAAAGAGAGGAGAGAGAGAGTGAGAGAATGACTGAATGAGTGAGGGCGGCGGCTGAGCGGGGAGAAAGGGAAGGGAGGGATGGCTTAGCGGTATGAGAAGAAGGAGCTGCTTTGGTTAGGAAAGGGATCCTCTCCGAATCCCTTCTGCCAAACCCACCAAGTCAAGGAATCTGGTTCCTTAAAATTTAATCCAACGGTTAAAGACAGGTTCTCTTAAAAAATTAGGATAAATCTCAATTTACTACCCTCAAGTTTCGTGGTTTTCAATATTTGGTACATAAAGTTTTTTCGTCCTAAAGTCATACTTAAATTGTTAATTTTGAGACAGTCTCATATATCCGTTAGTCTGGGTATTAAGTCTTCCGTTAACTGATGATGCAATACCTATGTAAACAATGGGCAACAAGTGTCATTAAGGGATCCACGTGGAAAATAAAAATTAAAAAAAAATTATTTAAAGAAAAAAATAAATAAATAAAAAACTAAATCCCCTTTGTCTTCCCCAGAATCCGTATATGTGCCCACCCAACCCTTCCCCTATCCCCCATCACCCGCAACCACTTCCCTACCCACTGCGCCTCTATCCCACCCGAGCCTATCCCCTTCTCCCATCCCCCATCCCCCCTCTCAAAAATCCCATCGTCGCCACCCCGAGCCCACTCTGTGACATCCCACATCGCCCAAGGGAGTGATCCTTATATGTATATTCCCATCTCTACTTAGCACGAGGCCTTTTGGGAGCTCACTGGCTTCGGGTTCCGTAGGAACTCCGAAGTTAAGCGAGAAGGGGGCTAGAGCAATCCCATGATAGGTGACCCACTGGAAAGTTGCTCGTGGGTTCCCAAAAACAAAACCGTGAGGGAATGGTAAGCCCAAAGCGGACAATATCGTGCTACGGTAGTGGAGTGGGCCCGGGAAGTGATCCGCCCCGGGCGGGGATGTGACAATTTACGGTTTTGTTTTTGGGAACTCACGAGCAACTTCCCAGTGGGTCACCCATCATGAGATTGCTCTAGCCCCTTCTCGCTTAACTTCGGAGTTCCGACGGAACCCGAAGCCAGTGAGCTCCCAAAAGGCCTCGTGCGAGGTAGGGATGTGAATATACATTTAAGGATCACTTCCCTGGGCGATGTGGGATGTCACAATCCACCCCCCTTAGGGGCCCGACGTCCTCGTCGGCACACACGCAACCAGGGTTAGGCTCTGATACCAATTTGATTGTGACATCCCACATCGCCCAGGGAAGTGATCCTTAAATGTATATTCACATCCCTACCTAGCACGAGGCCTTTTGGGAGCTCACTGGCTTCGGGTTCCGTCGGAACTCCGAAGTTAAGCGAGAAGGGGGCTAGAGCAATCCCATGATGGGTGACCCACTGGGAAGTTGCTCGTGAGTTCCCAAAAACAAAACCGTGAGGGAATGGTAAGCTCAAAGCGGACAATATCGTGCTACGGTGGTGGAGCGGGCCCGGGAAGTGATCCGCCCCGGGCCGGGATGTGACACACTCCCTTCTCCCATCCCAAAAATCCCGTCGTCGCCTTCCTCTTCCCACTCCACCACCCCTGTGGTCCCCTCTTATCCATATCCCCTTTTAGCTTTTCCATCGCCGCCTTCGACCTCCTGAACTCCCACATCAGAACCCTTGACCTCTTCCTGATCTGCTTTATCTCCGCCATAACCTTGTGCTGTAGCTTCACCGTCGATACCATGAATGACTCATCCTCCGGCCAACAGAACACCAGCCCGTACAGTAGGATCATTAGCAGTAGCGAACTCATGTTCCCCTGAACCCATTAAACACATTGAGCTTCGATTTGATGGAGATCCTTTCGTCAAATTTGAGTGACAGCGGTTGGATTCTCGTCTCCATCAGCCCCCTGTTTTGTTAAGTGGGGAGGGAAGTGGTTGCAGGTGATAGGGGATGGGGGATAGGGTGGGTGATGTGAGGTGGAAGGGTGGGCACGGGTGGGGATTCTGGGGAAGACCAAGGGGGTTTTGGTTTTTTTTTTTTTTTTAAAATTACTTTTCTTTAAATAATTATTTTTTTGAATTTTTAATTTCCATGTGGACCCAAAATTAACACTTTATGTATGATTCTGGGATAAAAAAACTTCATGTACCAAATGTTGAAAACCACGAAACTTGATTGTAGTAAATTGAGATTTACCCTAAAAATTATAACAACTTTAACCGTTAGACCAAATTTTAAGAGCACGAATTCCTTGACTTTGGTAGATTTGGTGAAAGGGATCTGGAGAGGATCCCTTTCCCTTTGGTTAATTACACGTTTACCATGTCAGCTTCATGATGTGGCATAGGAAGTTGCTTCCCACTTTTAATCACCTATAATAATATTCATCTTCACTTGTAAGTGAGAGGTCTTAAATTTGATTATCGTCAAAGGCAAATTTGAACCACATTATTACTAATAAGATGCTTAACCTACTCCCTCACTTCCTTAATGTGAATAATATCGTTTGCTCAAAATCACCTATGACAGAAACCGCAAAACCCAACTCTCCCTTTAGCCACCAACCTTTCTTCTTGCATGGGGTCAGTGGCAATCCCATCTCCTTCTTTACTAATTCCTTTCTCCTTCTTCCCTAAACCCCATCTTCTTCCTTTTCTTTTCATTTGGCCCTTGATTTCTAGTAATTTTGCTATAAGCTTGTCTCGTTTCCTTGAGATTTGTCTCAATTTCTTTAAGCTTTATCTCAATTGTTGGCAATTCTTATCGCATATTTGAGTTTCATGTCTTTTTTCAAACTACCATGAGCTACTGCCCATCGAGTTCGGATTTGGCTCCTCAAGTTCTTCCTCCATGGACTTCAATTGGAGGCGTGCTTCGAGTTTTGGTGGTTGCTAAAGTGTAATTCGCACTACTTGGCATGATTATAGGAGCGCTTCTAGCAAGGGTTGCTCGCTCACCTCCATTTTTTTTTCTTTTCATTTTTTGGGTTCGTTGGTTCTTCCTCTTGGTGACGACTGCTTGACAATGATAGTGCGTTTATTTTGTCGGAGTAGGCTGGTTTTCATTTCCAATTCTAGAGTTTTCGGCTTAGGCATTGTTACGGGCTCACTTTTGAGATTTGTTTTACTTTTTGTAGTGGCTGCATTTTTATCAAAATTGTATCCTAGAGGCCGTAACTAAAAATAAGCAAAAATATTACTAGTAAATAAGCTATTTAATAAATTGTTTATCTTATGTCACATAGTATTACGGTTTAACGGTATTCTTCTTCACAAGGTCTTAGATTCGATTTTCCTCAAAGGTGAATTTGAACTATATTATTACTAGTATACTATGAGGTCAAGCTCACATCCTTTTTCTTTAACGTAAATAATATCAGTTGTTAAAAAAAAAAAAAAAATATTGTTTAGCCTTTCACTAAGGCATCGACAGACCCGCCCACCAAACCAGAAAAGCAACGGCGGCTAACTGTACTCATCATCCCTTATCAAATTTGATTTCTCCATCAACCCATCTCCTCATTCTCCACCACCTCCCCCATATAACACATTTCCCAACAATCTCTCAGGGCATAATCGTCCTCCAACTTCTGTGCCTATATATGTACCCACTCCACACACTCATTTCCCACCAAACCAGAAGAATCACAGCAATCAGCTTCAATGGATGAATCAACCACAACCGCACTCGATGGCAACCAGCTGATCGCCAAGGCCCTTGCCCGGTTCGGCGTCGACCGCATGTTCGGCGTCGTGGGAATTCCTGTTACCTCGCTCGCGAACCGTGCGGTCTCGCTCGGAGTCCGGTTTATTGCCTTCCACAACGAGCAGTCCGCGGGTTACGCCGCCTCCGCCTACGGGTATCTAACTGGTCGACCCGGGGTCCTTCTCACGGTCTCGGGTCCCGGATGCGTCCACGGGCTTGCCGGTCTTTCCAACGCCATGGCCAATGCTTGGCCCATGGTGATGATCTCTGGTTCGTGCGACCAGAAAGATTTCGGCCGCGGCGATTTCCAGGAGCTCGATCAGATCGCCGCCGTCGAACCCTTTTCCAAATTCTCCGCCAAAGCTAAATCAATCAAAGAAATCCCGGATTGCGTGTTTCAGGCTCTCGCTGAAGCTGGTTCGGGTCGACCCGGAGGGTGTTATTTGGATTTTCCGTCGGATGTTCTGCACCAGACAATTTCTGAGGCGGAGGCTGAGAGCTTATTGGCCACCGCTGCCGAGAAATTCGCAGAGTCGGAGTCGGAGAAGGTTCTGAAAGTACAGAATTCGCAGATTGATGAAGCGGTTTCGCTGCTCCGGCACGCGGAGCGGCCGTTGATTGTGTTTGGGAAAGGAGCTGCATTTGCTCGAGCGGAGAATGAGTTGGGGAAACTAGTGGAGAGGACCGGAATCCCATTTTTGCCCACTCCAATGGGGAAGGGACTGTTGCCTGATACTCATGAGCTGGCGGCAACGGCGGCGAGGTCTCTGGCGATCGGGAAATGTGATGTGGCGCTTGTCGTCGGCGCCAGGCTTAACTGGCTTTTGCACTTTGGTGAGCCTCCCAAATGGTCTAAGGATGTGAAGTTCATTTTGGTTGATGTTAGTAAGGAAGAGATTGAGCTGCGAAAACCGCATTTGGGTCTGGTTGGAGATGCAAAGTTGGTGTTGGAAAAGATCAATTTGGGGATCAAGGATGACCCTTTTTGTTTGGGGAAGTCTCATTCGTGGGTTGCAGCGATTTCGAGTAAGGTGAAGGACAATGTTTCAAAAATGGAGGCTCAGTTGGCTAAGGAAGTTGTGCCATTTAATTTCTTGACGCCAATGAAGATTATTAGAGATGCAATTGCAGGGTTAGGGAGCCCTGCTCCTATACTGGTTTCCGAGGGGGCTAACACCATGGATGTGGGTCGGTCTGTGTTGGTTCAGACCGAGCCAAGGACCAGGTTGGATGCAGGGACTTGGGGAACAATGGGGGTTGGTTTGGGTTACTGCATTGCGGCTGCGGTGGCTTCTCCTGACCGGCTTGTTGTTGCAGTGGAAGGGGATTCAGGTTTTGGGTTCAGTGCAATGGAAGTTGAGGTATGATCGTTTTGATGCTTGTTCTTACAAAATATGTGCTAATGGTTATTACTTGTGGCAAATTATCTGCTAGTGTATGCTTGATAGCTGTGACTGATTCCTTTAGCAAGGAGAACCTGTTTGTTTACATAATTAGTTTCATGAGAAAGCAGACACTGATTGTTGCCGAGATATTTTTTATCTCCCAGTGAATCTGTTTTGGATTTGAGTTGGTCAAAATCTCACTAATGGTTTAAAGAGTTGGAGTGCTTTGATTTGTGTTCATCCGAGCTCTGATTTCTGGTTGTTGGTTTTGATGCGGTTTCCATTTAGTTCAAAAGATGTGGAAGAAAATTTGGTGGCCCATGTTAGTATAGGAATTAAAAGAATTTGGAAGCGAGATACTTTAATAAGTGGATATGTGTGCTGGAGTATCAACCTAGGTATTGTTTATTGGGTTCATGAAAGTAGTAGCACAAGTAGTATTAAAATTGTAGTAACCTTTTCCTTTTGGTTTTTCCTTTTTGTTTTAAAAGACATAGTAGAGAAGAAAAGGTAGTTGGACACCTTAAACGGTCGTCTCACTTTTTGCAGTCGCATGGTTAGATATGATTAGCCTAAGTAGGGAGTGAGCAACTTATTTGACGATGGGGTTGAAAAATGGACAGCTTAGGTTAGGGTAGAGCCTTAAGGAATGGGCAGGTTAAGTGCTGGCGGGGTTTAAGAACCGGGCTGGATTACACTTGGAGAGGTAGGAGCAGTTGGGCCTTGAGGGTGACTGTCGTGCAGTATACACATTCTAGGTTCTAGAAGTTGGGGGTTTTTTGTCTCTATCTTCTTAAGTAAGGACTTTTTGTTCCAAAAGTTTGCGATCCCCTTGATCTCCACATCATGTCTGATGTTGGCTTTACTTTGTATTAGAGACTTATCTTTAACAAAGACAGCTTTATTCGAATGTTTTGGTCTCGACATCATGTCTGATGTTGGCTTTCCATTGAAATCCTTTCTATTCACGATTTCCTTTGTAGATATCTATCGTTGTTTCTTGTTCTTTGAGCACACAGTCCTCAAGACATATAAACAAATAATAGACATTTGCTATATTTGTCTTAATTGTTCTAGGACTGATAAATGATGGTCAGTGGCTTCCTGAGGGCACTTCCCTCTCACTGTCTCTCTCTCTCTCTCTCTCTCTCTCTCTCTCTCTCTCTCTCTTAGCTAATGAAAGCCTCAGCAAGGTTAGCTTTCGGTGGAAGGGGGACAAGGTTCCATTTACGTCGGTGCTGTATTGAGAATTCATGCAACGATAAGTTTCTTACTACATAGGATTTTCCATGTAAGGTCATCTTTTCCCATAGTTGGAGTAAGGTTTTGGCATCTTTTCTGGTGGGAGATGTCGTTGGTAGCTTCATTTTGGTCCAAACTTTGAAGAGGTTCCGGTTGTCTTCTGTATAATCGGGAAATAAAAAAATAAAAAAAAGGAAAGAAAAGGTAGTCAGAAGCTTAACCTGGACACATTGCCAGACTGTTGTCCTATTCATAATTTGCCCTTATTACTGTACGCAGCTCTTGTTAAGGCTAGAGAGCTCGAAGCTGTTTTGTTATGAAGTTTGATTGCTCTTTCATGACTATCCTTTTCAGTTTCTTTTCTGTAATCAAGATTCCCTTTGAACTTTCCAGTATATCATCTATGTTTCTTGGTCAATATGTCTTCACTGTTAAATTTTATCTTAGTGTGTGTCTGTCTGTGTTCTGGCGTGTGCGTGCGTGTTTCTGGCTGCACAAAGGACCATAGTTCATTGCTGTATGCTTATTTCTTGATTTCTGCAGACATTGGTTCGGTACCAGTTACCTGTTGTTGTGATAGTCTTTAACAATGGTGGTGTATATGGCGGTGATCGAAGAAGCCCAGATGAAATTAGTGGGCCTTACAAAGATGACCCTGCTCCCACTTCCTTCGTCCCAAAAGCGGGTTATCACATTCTGATTGAAGCATTTGGAGGCAAAGGATATCTTGTTGGGACACCTGAAGAACTCAAGTCTGCCCTTTCAGAATCATTCTCCGCACGAAAACCTGCTGTTATAAATGTAATTATTGATCCTTATGCTGGTGCAGAAAGTGGGAGGCTTCAACACAAGAACTGAATTAGGCCTTAGCTGCGTTTTAGCATGCTCATTTTCTCCCGGTAAAGTTGCTCATTTTGCTCATTTTTACGAATTCCGCTAATCTCAGAGTTTCGTCAGGCACGTATATCGAAGAGATTTTCAAATGAATGCCATTAAGTCAAGGAAGTGTTCATTTTTATTTTAGATATTGTGGTATACAAATGTTGGAAGAATGGTCGGAAAGTGGAGGAGCTTATGTTTGTTGATGATTGTGATGGTATATGAATACTTATTGTGCTTGTTTCAGTCTTCATCTGCAATCAGTCATTTATTTTGAAATTGTACAAGTTTTGTATTTCTCTATCTATTTCAACAGGAGGAATTTGGTAACGAAAAGCACTTCCAGATCACCAAAACCTCTTTTACTCCTGTTTCGCAGAAAAAAGCTATAAGCACTTGAAAAACTTTCATGTTACTTCATGTGCATGCATTTTAATTAAAATTTGATGCGCTTTTGCTGTAAACACTTTCTAGCAGTAGTGCTTTAAAAAAAAAAAAAAAAAACATTTTCAAACGGGTCTAATCAAATTCTTACGCACGTTATATAAAATAAAAATAACCGATGAAACTAGAAAATTCTAATCAAATTCTTTTGTGGTCGAATCATAGAATTTCATATTTATGATTGCAATTGATCGTATTATAAATTACTCTATAAAGCTCATTTCCTCATATAATCAATTAAAATCAAGGTTATTTGGTCAATCAACTGGAGTAAATAGATAAATGGTTTAAAATATTATAGTTAATTGATTAACGAACTTAGTTTTAATTAATTTTTTACATATATAATATTTACATAGTAATTTATAATATTGTGGTTCTATGAATCGATTTTGATTATAAGCATAAAATTCTACAAATTTACTACGAAGAGTAGGAGTTTCTACTGATTATTGAGAAGCCAAATATAATTCATTTAAGAAATAAGTAAATTAAAAATTCTACATTTGAGTTACTATTGACGGGCTGCTGTCGCAAAGTAAAAAGATAAAACAAATGTCGCTGCATTTGTTTTCTTCTCTGATTAATTATTAACTAAATCAATGCAGGAGTCCAACTTTGTTTCTGTAGGCCGGTAAAGACGGCATACAACATATAACGCTATGCGTAATTAAACTGATAGACAACTTGAGGAATATAGTCCGGCCATTCGTGCTTCTCTTCTGAAACTCAAATGCATACATACACATATATGTGTGTGTATATATGAATAGTTATAAATTACACTCTCACTTCACACATTAAACAGCTCGTCTCGAACATATAAAAGGGTAAGTATAATTAAGCGAGAGGAGTGCAGATGGCGACGACGGATCAAGCGACGGCGGAGATGAAAGAAGAGAAGACATGGGCCGTAACATGGGGTACATTCCAGAGTGAGGTGAAGAAGGAAGGTTTTATAGCTGCTCCAATGGCGGCAGTCTCAGTGCTGCAGTATCTGCTGCAACTGGTGTCCATGATAATGGCTGGACATCTTGATCAGCTCGCACTCTCCGGTGTTGCGATTGCCATCTCTCTCACCAATGTCACTGGTTTTAGCCTTCTTGTAAGTCCCTTCCTTCTCATCATCCAACATCCATCGCTTCTTTTTTTTTTTTTTTTCTTTGCATCAAGTTTCTTTCCTTTTTCTTGGCACTAAAATGGAAACTGCAAGGCATTTCAAAGTCCATGAACACGTTGCTAATTAGAAAAAAATTTGATTGATATAATTCTAGTATTGTATAATTATATTGACTAAGCCCATTTTTTAATACCAATTTGAGACTAATGAACCCATTTGCATGTATTTGTTGATCACAGTCAGGAATGGCAGGTGGACTGGAAACACTATGTGGGCAAGCATTTGGAGCAGGACAATATCAAAAACTTGGAACTTACACTTGCACTGCAATGATCTCTCTTCTCTTGGTTTGTCCCCCAATATGTGTCCTCTGGATTTTCTTTGACAAATTATTACCCTTAGTAGGCCAAAACCCCCAAATATCACATGAAGCACAAATATACTCAGTTTGGCTAATTCCTGCACTTTTTGGCGGTGCAATTCTTAAGCCTTTAACTCGATATTTCCAGTCTCAGAGTTCAATTTTTCCAATGATTTTATCCTCCTTTGTCATTCTTCTTTTCCATATTCTTACCTCATGGGCCTTTATATATAAGCTGGAACTAGGAGTTAAGGGTTCGGCCATATCCTTTAGTTTGTCAACTTGGTTGTATGTGGTACTGCTGTGGTTGTATGCAATGTTTTCTTCATCCTTCGAGGAAACCCGTCTTGCATTTTCTATGGAGTCTTTGGTCCATATTGGACAGTTCTTTCGCTTAGCCATCCCCTCCGCTGTAATGATTTGGTAATTTTCTTACTCCTTTTATTTACGATATGTGACAGACTTAATGATTGCCTTTCAGCATTGACATCCATTAATCTAAGCATCAAGTTAATAGTTGTTTTTCGATGCAACACTTGACGGATCAATGATGCAACTGTTTTTAACTTTATACTATTGTTTTTGTGAACTTTCAAAAACGAAGCAAATTGTGCTTGGTTCTAGATGAAAAGATTGCAAAATGTATTGACCCTATTTACTTCATGAGTACTTATGTATCTTAATTTGTATTGCTTTGACCAAAAATATAGTCTTAAATGGTGGTCATGTGAGCTGATTATTTTGCTGTCCGGCCTTCTACCAAATCCAAAGCTGGAGACTTCGGTGCTTTCAATATGGTAAACTTCAATTTCTGTGCTTGATCACATTACTTTCTATATAGGTGATGATCGTCGGATGATGTGCTTAAACTCTCGTGTATTCTTTGTGGTTATACAGCCTTACAATCTCTACATTGCACTTCACTATATCGTATGGATTTGGAGCTGCTGCAAGGTACCACTCAGCATGTTATTGTTTGTAGCGCATTTTCTATTTTAGGTAAATTTAGGGAGAACTCCTCGAGCAATACTCGAGCTCCCCTCAAGACCACTCGAGCAGTGCTCAAACTGCCCACAAGGGGTTAAAATTCCAAAAGTCTGAAAAAATAACCTACTATTCAACATTTTCCTCCATTTTACCCTTTTTGAATATTAAGTGCCTTAGTGGTAAGGGCATGGAAGTAATGACTGAAGTAAACCTAAACTTCAACTATTTTTACAGTATTCGGGTGTCGAATGAATTAGGAGCTGGCAATCCACAAGCAGCTCGAGTGGCTGTATGGGCTGCAATGTTTCTATCAATCACTGAGGCAGTTATTGTGAGCACAACTCTCTTCTGCTGCCGCTACGTTTTGGGGCATGTTTTTAGCAGTGAGAAGCCAGTCGTGGATTATGTTGAAGTCATGGCACCTCTGATTTGTATCTCAGTGTTCATGGATAGCTTACAAGCTGTTCTTTCAGGTTCATATCATCATCTTTTTTCTCATATATGTGCTTGTTTATTGGGCGCAAGTAATGCCACATGGATTACAAATGTATGTTACACGCCTATTTGGTGAGGCTTTTAGAATCACTAAAATCACGTTCTACAGCCAAAAGCAGTTTTTTCAGTGGCATTTAAAGTAGTACTTACTTTTTTAACATTGAAGAAATACTTGCCAAGTGCTCATTTGAAGAGTTTTCGATTGCTTTTTCAAAAGTGCTTCCAACAAATGGCCTTAGGCATAAAAGTGCTTCCCACAACATCTCTGTCAAACATAAAGAACTTATGTTTGACGCTTTTATTATTAGAAGCACAACTAAATTTACTAAAAATCCCAACAGCTTTTGAAAAATTACTTTATTGCAGAAAGCACTAAATAGTATCTTTACAACTTGTAACACTGCTAGCTATATTTATGGAAACGCTTCCAAACAAGTTTTTGGTTATTTAAAGCGATTTTGGCAATTCCGTACGTACCCTGCCCTAACTTGGGACACGAACATATAAGAGAGATTTTCCTGCATGCATCAGGTATTGCTAGAGGAAGTGGATGGCAACATATAGGGGCATATGTGAATCTCGGGGCGTTTTATCTGTTTGGACTTCCTTTGGGTTGTGCACTAGGATTTGCTCTAGGCTTACGGGGGAAGGGCCTTTGGATTGGAATAGTGGCCGGGTCTGCTGTACAATCTGCTCTTCTTGCTCTTGTCACTTGTTTCACCAATTGGACAAAACAGGTTTGAACTCCCAATTAATTTTTCTTTAAATATTTCTCTCGGTAATTTGTTAATTTAAAAATACTGTTTTTAAAAGAGGGTTTTCTACAATACAATGATATATGACTGTGACATACATTATTTTTTCAACGGGGATTATCATTTCATTTCTAAAATAAGAAAAATTGAACGTGTCACGTCGATCGAATAGTTAAAAGAGTATGTATGTATATTGTTCAATGATAGAATTTTCCAATTCTATACACCAAAAAATAGTATCTGAACATCCTTTTTATGTATGTATTACAGGCAAAGAGGGCAAGGGAGAGGGTATTCGTGGAGCAATTATCAGAAGACAGTGAAGCAAATTGAATGAGATAAAAGAAAAAAGAAGGTCGGAGATGATTCTGCTCAAAATTCAAAATTCATCATCAGAAGGAATCGTACGTGTTTAAGTACAAAGTAGTAGCAAGCGAGAAAAATGACAGGTTAACTTAACGCATAGATTTGGCACCAAGTCGGTTGACTGCAATGAAAATTTGTTCATCAAGATAAACGTATAGGAATAGGAGTTCAAGAGACCTGAAGAACTCAAGTGATCTGCCTCGCCTCTTGAATCCGATCGGCGCGCAAAACCCGGCTGTTATAAATGTAAATTGATCCTTAAATATGGCTTGCTGGTGAAGAAAGTCTTTGATCATGTTCCAGTTTGCTGTGGGCAAAGCTGCTTGTATAGGTTAAAATCGATCTAGAAGCTGAAACGAATGTGAATAATTTTTTGATCTTTTGGCCATTGAATAATAGTGAATTTTAATTGTGAGAAAAGCGGGTTTGCTTTCCGACATGTTTAACATATTTATTTTGTGATCTGAAAGTTGTTAAAAATATTGTTTGCTAGTAACTACATAAATCTCAGGATTAGTTGGATAAATGGTCTTCGTGGTTATAGGATAGTCGGAAGATGACCTTCGTGGTAGACAAATAGGATTTACGTCCTTGTGGTGAAAGACCGTTAGCAATTTAATCTAAAGATGAAATTTCTGTTAAAATGTGTAGGATTTTTGGATCGGCGGGCCCGTGAGGCCCACTCTAACAACACTAATATTGTTCCCCAACTTTACCACCTGTCCAATCTGTCAAGTGTGGGGTTTTATCACAAAAAGTCTCGATATTAGTTAGAGTGAGGGTGATCATATTTAAACCCCATTATTTTCTTTTCACCCACCGATGTGAGATTCCAACACTCCCCCTCACGTGTAACTCCATTTAGTGGTTCACACGTGAAGATCCACACATCGGCAAATGGAATTCAGAGGCAGGCTCTATGTTAAGAGTCATGGCTTGTTTAATTTATTTTATCATAAAAGGCCTTGATATTAGTTAGAGTAGAGGTAATCATATTTAAACCCCATTCTTTTCTTTTTCACCCACCGATATGAGATTCCAACACATCAACACTCATTCTCACGTGTAACCTCATTTAGTGGTTTACACATAGAGATCCACCAACACTCCCCCTCACGTGTAACCCCATTTAGTGGTTCACTGATAGGAGCATATTTATGCGACTTAAATGGCTTGTTCTCGTACATTTACGTTATGTTTCTTTAGTTATTTTAGTACTTTAAGCTATTTTCGTGTGTTTGTAGGTCCAAAGGGCTAAAGGAGCAAAAAGATGCATTTTGGAGACTTTTGGAGCACTTTTGGGCTAAGGACGGATAGCTTATGCTTGAAGCCAAAGTGTTGGACGAAATTGAAGACCTAATTGGAGCCAAAGTGTTGGAACCTTGTTCTCTTTAGTTTTAGGACATTTAAACCTTTCCTAATCCCAATCATGCCATGCATAACACACATCCATTCTAACACATTGTCATTGCACATGCATTTCCTTCATTAGTTAACCCACATGCACTTATCACTTATCATCACCACATATCATATCACTTAATCACTTATCACTTATCATCACCACTTAACCACTTATCATATCATAACCACATATCATATCACTTATCACTTATCACTTAACATAACATCCACCTACTTCACCTACAACATCCACTTCACCTACAACATCCACCTACTTCACCTACAACATCCACCCACTTCACCTACAACATCCACCTATTTCACCTACAACATCCACCTACTTCACCTACAACATCCACTTCACCTACAACATCCACCTACTTCACCTACAACATCCACCTACTTCACCTACAAATGACATAGCCATATGTTCCCTCCACTACTCCTATAAATACCCTTGCATTCATTCATTCAAAAACATCTCATTTCATACACAACACACCACTCCTCATCCATTTCCATAATTCCCCAATCCATTCAACACATCAACAACATCCCTTAGACCTTATGCTACAACGAAGAGGAGGAGAAGAGTGCCTAAACGTTCATACAATTCAAGTTTGAGTTGTTGGAATGTTTAGGTGTTTCTTTTCCTCGATTATAATGTTTAATTTTGATTCTCTTTGTTTTGTAATCATGAGGAACTAAACCCCCCTTTAGCTAGGGGGGGATTCGAAATATATGTTTATGCTTGCATTTTGATTTGATTACTTCTAATTGCGTTTTATAAGTTGTGATTTCAATTTGTTTAACCGTTTGATTGATAACTTATTTATGTATGTTTATTGAGAGTGCACGCTTAATTTTCATGCATGAATATGACGCTAGAATATAAGTGAGTTTCACCTAATAGTTATGAACTTATATTCACAAGTAGTGGAGGTTGCTTATAAACAATCGCGTTAAACAAATTCTTGGCATAAGTTTCATGCAATCATAGTAACGAATGCCTCGTCAACACTTATAGTTTTCATGATGCTTAATGATTCTTGCTTGTATCTCTATTATGCAATTCATGTAGGGAACTTGTGAGGAATGCTTTGGGTTGTCGTATGCAATCATCCAATTCATTAACTTAAGGAAAACTTGACGGTTAATTTAAGCGGACCTAATTAACCCGGGGTGTTGAGAATTCATGGTTTATTGAAATACAATTAGAAATCATTTTATTATGCAAGTGTAACATGTATGGAGATGAACCCCTTAGCTAGCCATACCATCCATTCATTTCCGTCAATTTCATATTTACAATTTGTTTTCTTTACAATCTATCCATTTTAGTTTAAATTCGTCCAAAATCAATCCCCCTTTACTTTATTGTTCAATTTAGTTAGAATCTGTTTAGTTTATGTTTTAAAGCATTTTGAGTTTTTGGTTTGTCTTAGTGTTTTAAACTTTAGTTTTGCATTCTTTGAGTCTAGGATAGCGTTTTATATTGTTTTTACGTTTTTGTGTCAGTTTCCAAGAGATTTGCAATCCCTCCTAATCCCCGGTCCAGAACGATCCCTACTTATACATATACTACAATTGACAAAAAGAGGGTTTAATTTGTGTGCGTATAATTCTCGCATCAAATTTTGGCGCCGTTGCCGGGGATTAGCAACTTTGCTAATCTCTTGGATTGTTTTATTTTCGTTTGTGTATATATATTTTTTTTAGTTTTATTTTAGACGCAAGACATGGCACTTGATAGTGCTTCTCTTTTGTCACAGCTTATGGAAGAGTACCAAACGCAAAGAGTTGGTACATTTGATCATAATCAATCAAGGAACGACGTGTTTTCCAATACTTACAATTCCGATTGGAGTGATCATTCAAACTCTATATGGTGGGAACCTCAACATATTCAACAAGAAGGATATTGGCAGCCTTATGAGGAGTTCTATTCAACGTCTATGCATCCACCACAACCTCATATTCAATATGCCCAACCAAACTCAAGTTCGTCAATAGATTATAATCAAAAGCTTAATGAATTACTTTGTTTGGTGCAGGGCTCACAAAACCAAGTCGAGGAGACTCAACAAGGAGAATATTGGCAACCATATGAGGAGTTCTATACAACGCCTATGCAGCCACCACAACCTCATATTCAATATGCCCAACCAAATTTAAGTTCGTCAATAGATTATAATCAAAAGCTTGATGAATTAATTTGTTTGGTGCAGGGCTTACAAAATCAAGACAATGAGGCTCAACAAGAAGGATATTGGCAGCCGTATGAGGAGTTCTATTCAACGCCTTTGCAGCCACCACAACCTGCCCAAAGTAATGTAGGTAATTCAAATGATAATGATACGATTTTTCAATTACTTACTACTCTGGAAAAGCAAATTGGGCAGATAACGGAGTTCGAAGGACAATTTTGCGACCAAGGCGAACTCCCTAGTTCAACCATTGCAAATCAGAAGGGAGAATTTGAAACCACCAATGCTATCATGTTGAGAAGTGACAAGGAGGTTGGAACGGACCCTCAACCATCAAAATCAAATCACAAGGAAGAGGAATACACCCAACCCACGGAAAGGGTGGAAACACCTTTACCGGAGGCACCTATTGCTCCTATGCCATCCAATTCAGGTAAGGTTGTTCCAAAGTTAATTATTTCTAACCCCGTTCCACTGAATGTCCCTATTCCTTGCAGATTCATGACTTCCAAGGAAGAAGAAGGTGAGAAAGACATCTTGGAAGTCCTTCCAAAGGTGACAAGTAAGGAATGTCATGAATTCATCAAAGAGGACGTTCTTGAAACCAAAAAATCCAAAGAAGTTAAATTTGATGACATTGGACAAGTCATAACAATCATTTGCAATCTGGCCAAGTCCAATATCCCTGAAACTTTCCAGCGAGTGGTGTTTATTCTTGAGTTTATGTCGGAGCACACAGGTAAGCCGCCTCCCCGAATTTCAATTTTCTTTTATACTAATATGTTGTTAATGATTCAGGCACCCACTTTAGAATTTGAACCAATGCCGGTTCATTTCAAGTATCACCTTCCATTCAAGGACCAATTCCATGCCGTTTGATTTTATTTATGTAAAAAAAAAAAAAAAAAAAAAAAAAAAAAAAGAAAAAAAAAAACATGGCAGAATGATGGAGCTTCACAAAGGGCGTTTACTTGAAGCCCCACTACTGGGAAAAACTCTAGGAGCAGAAGGCATCGAGGCGGAAGGCATCGGGGCGGAAGGTATCGGAGCGGGAGGCATCAAAGAAGAGGCCTCAATACTTGGCCAAACGCTGGATGAGCCCGGAAAAATGTGCCTCTGGAAGTAAGCCGCAAGCCTTTGACGGTCAGTTTGACGGTCACTTTGCATCCGACCATTGGATTCTTGTAGCTCATCAAGCTTCCTCTTCATACCCGTCGAATAGTTGTTGGCAAGCACGTGCAAACTTCTATTCTCGTGCTTAAGCAGTTTGATCTCCTGCTTGAGACTTTCCACCTCTGCCATCAATGATTCCACCTGACGGGAGCGGGCAAGCAGGCGTTGGCCCATGTTGGACACAGAACTCGCACACTGAACACTAAGTGCGAGGGATTCTTGAACGGCCAACTCATCGGACCGTCCTGACAGCAGCCTACTATCTTTTGGAGTAAGGAGGTTTCTAGCTACTATTGTAGCTGTTGTGGCGTCCTGCATCACGGAGTCTTCACCTGTGAGAGGACCGTTAGAAGAAAAGAAAGAAGGGCGCCATACGTTACCTTGACGCGGCGCGCCCGTATCACTGCTAAGGCTCAATTCCAAGCTAAGGTTCGATGAGTTTGCCATTTTTCAAAAGTGTTCAAAGAGAAGGGATGGAGTTAAATTTCAAAGGGCCGGAGTCGATTATCAAGAATGGGAAATCTTCAGAGTGTGTTTGTTGTGGTGATCGATAGCTCAATAAAAAAGCCAAGGCGACGCGTCCACCAATTCAAAAAGCCGGAATTTCCGGCGTAATTTAGGCGACGCTTTCT